ATAGCAGGACACTGAACTTCACTGCAGCACGGAGTTTGAGATGTCCTGGGGTCTGCTGTATGCCTTCCAGTTTGCATTTCTTTTTTTCTTGATGTTGGTCTCCTGATCATCTCAAGGTTAGACTTGTAAAGAAACCAGTGCGATGAGGAGAGTAGTTTTGAAAGGAGACACTGTGCATAGTCAGGAGGAGGAAAGAACTTTTCCACTGTGCTGTTTTGCTGTGCGTGGCCAGTTTTGTTTCTCACAGGGAAACTGAACGAGCTGTCACGGTGGCTCCTAGGGAACTGCTGCTGTAAGTGGCCCAGCAGGAGTGGAGCTTCATGTAGTCTTGCTGGGAGTATAGAAATGGAGGAAAGCCACTGGACGAGTGCCCCTTCGGTTTTGGGAAGATCTGGATGATTCTGCACAAGCAAACTGACTTGAAGTTTACGTATGGACGCACCTCTGCCAACCCATCTTCAGCTGACTGTGGTACCATCTCCCTTTTCCAGAGCAGGGGTGGAAGGCTCTGGTTTAACTACAGATTGTATAAACTCATTTCGCTTTCAGGATCATCTTATAGATTCCAGGTCCCTTTTTTAGATACTCATTATTGTTTTGTTTTTTTTAAAGTAATTTGTTTCCTATGTAAAATACTTGTATTAGTCAGTGATTCATATTCAGCTTTATCTGAGCCAATTGTCATCAAAGAGAGAGAAATATTTGTGATTTAAACAATAGTGGAATAGCAAAGTAAAAAAATATGATGGTTGTTAAGTTTAGGCAACCAGGTAGTGGTTGGCTTTACCATAGTAATTTCAGTTGAGCCAGGAGAGTTGCCTGCTGTGACAGTTGTGGGTACATTTGTATTGCTAATGGTCATAGTAGTTCATTACATTAGGTTGAACACTGTACAGTGACAAAGTTATTGTTCCAGGAGTAATTATTATATGCTCCACATCATGTAGGGGTATATGGACAATAATGGGGCAATGTTATATCCTTGTTTATTGACCAGGTGCTCGATGAGTATTCCAATCAGTCTTGTGATTGCACAGGCTAAAAGACAAATAAGGAAGATTTTTCATAAAGATCATTCACTGTATATATTTTGTGTCACCAAAATGGATGTAAAATGGTAAGAATGAAATCAAACATTTCGAGAAAAATGAGTCACTATCATTTCTTTTGTAATTTTGATCGTATATTGTTTGTATTTAGCTGTTATTTGTATTAGCTTGTAATTTGTTTTTTCAAATAAACATGTAAATTTATTCTGTGTTATCTCTTTGTAATAAATACTTACTTAAATTTCTGTATTTTCATTCTGGGAAAGGATTGATCTTATGCTGTCCCAAACTCCAGAGTACAGAAACACATTTCCAATAATCACCTTTCTTATTCTTACGTCTGTCTCTCTTAAGTACATGTCTTGGTTACTTTTCTCACATTACTGTAACAAAATACCTGACACCCAAAATTAAGGAAGGAAAGGTTTACATAGCTCACAGTCTGTGGAGGTTTCAGTCTATAATCAGCGGGCTCCAAGGCAGGGTGGCAGGGCACAGGGGCCACACTCCAAGGAAGAAGAAGACAGCAAATGCAACAGGAGCAAAAGGCAAAGAGAGCAAGCCTCTTTTCCTCCCTTATATTGTAAGCAGGCTATTATACCACTAGGGTGGGTATAGCACTCACACCATCTCCATGCCTTCCTCTTGCACAGGATGAGGATGTTTACAAAGTGAGGACCCTGGCTCCCTGCTGAGTTAAACCTCTAAACTTCTCAAGTTGCACAATGTATCAACCATTACAATAATGTTAAAGAAACTTGTTTAAAACCCCAAATCTCCAGAAAATATCAGCACACACTGACTTCATATTACAAAGATGGAATTCCCCAAATTCACCAAAATGAAACTTCTTCCTTCCAAAATTTCTCCAATAAACAGTTTTCTTATAAATCTCCCATGATGTGCACTCTAGTTATTAGGCTGAACTACCTAACTGAAAGTCATCCTTTTGCTAATCTTCAACTCAGATTAGGCTTTTTCAGCATTAAATTTTTTATATCTTACAAAACCTTACCTTCTGTAAAGTATCAGCTCTTTTCACTTGCAATATTGTTTATTTTCTTTGAACGCTGTTCT